CAACATTCTTAAAATTAACAAGAAAGGAAAGCTAACTTCGGACGGAGCCGAAGTTGATATACCCTTGCAGAATATTCTGTAAATTATATTCTTCAAAATTATTCATTTGATGCATTCTTAATACTCATAAAAAGTCCCAACTTCCTAATTTTAAAAATACCAAAGTTATGGCATTTCCAATCGTTCAGTTATATGGCAGCTATAAGATATAGTCGGCCGATCCTTATGGAATTTGGTAGGTCGGATTGATTTGCCAAATATAACACCCATAGAAAATCCCAACTTCCTAACTTTACAAACACCAAAGTTATGGCATTTCCGATCAATCAGTTATATGGCAGCTATAAGATATAGTCGGCCGATCCTTATGAAATTTGGTAGGTCGGATTGATTGGCCAAATATAAAGCCCATAGAAAATTCCAACTTCCTAACTTTACAAACACCAAAGTTATGGCATTTCCGATCAATCAGTTATATGGCAGCTATAGGATATAGTCGGCCGATCCCGGCCGTTCCGACTTATATACTGCGTGCAAAGGAAAGAAGGGTGTGTGCAAAGTTTCAATTCGATAGCTTTAAAACTGAGAGACTAGTTTGCGTAGAAACAGACAGACGGACATGGCTATATCAACTCAGGAGGTGATCCTGATCAAGAATATATATACTTTATAGGGTCGGAGATGTCTCCTTCACTGCGTTGCACACTTTTGACCAAAATTATAATACCCTCTGCAAGGGTATAATAACAGACGATACGCCCCTATGAAACGATAAGCTTTGTTTATCTTAATTTCTGTATGTAAAAATGATCGCAACTACATTGATTTGAGATTATGTAAGCTGAGAAAATATTACAAAAAATGCTACCTTATAGTAAAACCAAAGACCAACATAATAAGATTATATTGGTCTTTGATAAAACATTGGGATGGTTGCCAATCAATTTACGAAAACTACAAAATATTTATAAAATTCCATTTGGGTCTATAGTTTTATTTCTTTGAGTAAAAGTTGTACAAGATACTTGCCGTCGGACAAAATACACAACTAAATTATATGAAATGAAAATACAAAAGCGGCGGAAAAAAATCGTAATGTCTTATTTTCTTAAATATACCTTTTAATTTAATTTCTGTTTAAAAGATTGTAATAAAAAATAAAAACTAATTTAGTAGCTCAATAAATTCAATTTTCTTACTTGAATCTCTGACTTTAAACAGAGTTTCTTTTCGCTACAAATCTTACGGCTGACCGGCTTAAGCTCTGCTCGAAATCCGCATTTTGGGTCCTGATCTCCATGAACAACATTATATAAGTAGTTTATGTACGAAATGGCCAACTTCAGTGTTTTAATCTGTTAAGTAAACCAAATATACAGACACAAATTTTCTTTAAAGCTGTTTAAACATTTCATCTATTTATTATCAGTATTTCAGAATTAATTTTAATAATTTTGCAAACTGTTTTTAATTGATTTATTTTTATATATTTATTTAATAGACTTTATTGAAATGTTTCAAATAACTTAATTTAATCCATTTCCGGCGGTAAAATTACCTTTGATAATTTAGTATCTGTAGGAACATTTGGAATCTTTTCTCGGAGGTAGGAGAATGCGTTGTTTATGCTTTGTGTTCGCCTTCTCTCCTTTTTATTAGCTGTATTTCGTTTCTTAACAATCCGAGTACTCGAAGTTGGCACATAACCTATGTGATTTGTGTTAAATATCTGTTGCTGAACTTGACTTTCAGAGTCTGAAAGAATTAGCAGATTCAATAATAATTATTATTTACGAAAAGATATATAAATTCGTTTTATTGCAAATGTCTCACAGTTACACGTTTGAGGTCACAATAGTCATATTCGTAATTAAAAATATTAATATACAAGCAAGTGCCAGAGATTATGTAACAGAATGTGATTTTATTTATTGAGTTTACTGCCACTAAGTACAAACAATAAGGTAAAGAATTACCTTTTATGTCGAACAGTGCAGATCCATTATATACAGAGTTATAATACATTGTTGAATAGTCACGCCCTAAGGCTTCGGAATTTTTAAACATTTTTTTAATTAAATCTTCGTAAATTAAAAACCAAAATTTCACGGGTAAAGATCTGCATTTTCGCTTGTAATACGGAATATAAAACTCGTCGATGCTGGCTGAGAAGTAACTGAAAATCGCTTTCAGTTGTTGAATGAACTAGAGTTGTGTGCCAGCATCTGGATATCCTCCCCCAAAATCCACCAATGGCATAAGTTGTCTTTTTGTATTATCTCCGCCGACCAATAGTAAGCACTTTCAGATATGTCTGTATATGTAAATGTTCCTGTGTATCTGTGTGTATTTCATTATTTATCCGGGATAATGCCTTGCAGGGTTGAGTGCTCTGTTCTTTTGTAATTTTTATTCAGTTTTCAATCAGCTCTCTTGCCAGTTTAGCAAAACATTACTTTAACAAGTAAAGCCCACATTTTGGATTTTTTAATTTTTGGTTGGAGTTTGAAAAATCAATTTGTCTTCGACAATATTAAGTATTAAAACTAAAATTTGTTGCAAAAATAATTTGTTTTATTGCACAAAACAAATAAAATTTGAGTTTTTCAGATTTTACAAAATTTTAACACAACACAAATTAATAGACATTTATATTAACAAGATAAGATAAGCAAACTTTAAGTCGAAGTTGTAATAATAATTTAATTTTCTTTAAAACGAATATATATAGATTTTTATGCATACATATATGATTGAAAGCAAAGAAGATGAGTCTTTTTCAAATATATATTTTTTCTTTCAGTCGTTTCGGTTAGCTACTTGATAAGCAAAATATTATTTTTTTTTTGTTTGAAAAAAACATAAATATTTTCAGTTTTATAATTATATATGTATGTTTTTTTACGGCCCACCGCTTGCCTAACCTACAGAGGGGGCACGATTCGCGAGTTTTACCAGTTCGTTTCGCTTATATATAATAGTGCAATACAAAGAAGACTTTTGGAAAAATTTGATGCAGATAGCTTTAAAACTGAGAGACTAGTTTGCGTAAAATCCGACGGACATGAATTTTTTTAGAGATTACTCCTTTGCTAATTTAATATTTTCGTGATTGGTCTAAAATTTGAGTTCTTCATTCTATTTAATCAATATACCATTGGTATTAGTTTTTAACAAGAATGGAATAAAACTTTGGCAATCCGAATTGAAAATTAAATATTCAACATTTCGATTTCGATGCTTAAAAACAATGAAGCTAGGTCCGATTGTGATAATAGTAAAACAGCAATTCTGAAATCATTAAAAATTACTATATCTCGGAGTATATGTGTATAATTTAATTTCTATTATTCCGATTTTTATAAAACTATATGTTAAGAAACAACAATGTTATAATTTTATTTCCCTTTTTTTCGAGTTTTTTATTCAAAAATTCCAAAATACTAACACTAATTTGGTGCTAAATAAGATAAAATTAATGCTTTTAAGATTGGCAAAGAGTCGGTAGTAGATATAATATGGTATATTCTATTATAGTCATTACACAGGACTTGAACAAGTAAATAAATAATGTAAAGAGAAGTGGGCCAAAGTGGATCACTCGTGGTACTCCTGAAATAATTTGGATCAAACTAGCGATAGAGCTTTTAAAGAGGACTGTTTTTGTTTTACCACTTAGATAACTAAAGATCCATGTTAGAAGATCACATGGAAACTCTAATAAGTCTAGCTTTAATACGAGAAGCGAGTGATTAACGGTATCAAACGCTTTACTAAAATCGTTGGAAACTAAGTAAGTCCGAAAGTTATTGCTAAAACTATTTTTTACAAAGGACGTTAACTTTAAGAGGTTTGTCGTCGTAGACCTTCGCCTAATAAGTCCATGTTGACACGCAGAAATAATCTATCTTCAAAGATGTTACAACTGGCGGGTAATACCGCTCTCAAAAACTAAAAATTAATTAAAAGACTGGATAAAGGAAAGGTGCTTCGCATAAATTGGGAACTCAGATGGTGGTAGAATATATGAACAAGTATTATTTATATAAATACTGGGAAACGATAATAGTATACCTAGGAATTCTATGTTATAAATTCTTCCAATAGTTAGTAATTCAGACGAGAGGTTTGAGTAAAGCAATCATCGTTTGGACTGACGATCAAGCCTGTAAATTGTGTACTTACCCGGAAAAATTTCGGAGCTTAGAATCTCCGGCTTTAACCAGTTTCCTGTATATGAAAAGGAAAAACGATTCGAGTACAAGGAATACCAATTTTGAATTATGATACTTTCTCAGCATATCATATGATGAAATTAAGGTCAGGGGCACCCGAACACATGTAACCACTCCTCTTATCTATGGCAACGCGAACCAGGACCGAATAGACAAGACACTTGGCATGATAAACTTTATCTCATGTATGACAAGCAATACTCTGCTGTCCAGCCGAGTTGTAGTTTTTGAGTGAACATAATGACATCAGTCGATTAACTTGAATATTTGTGTACCCTAGCGTATTAGAATTCCAGTCAAAAGCTTGCAACGCAGTGATGGGCACATTTCCGACCCCATAAAGTATATATATTTTTGATCAGCATCACCAGGCGAGTCGATCCGGCCATGCACGTCTGTCCGTTTCAAAACAACCTTGTCCTTCAGTTTTAAAGCTATTTGAACAAACTTAGCAAAAAGTATTATTTCTGTTGCAGGTTGTAAATAAGCTCCAATCGAGATAATATTGGAAATAAAATTTCAGAATTAAGGTATTACTTTTATAAAAGTCGGACGACTATATCATATAGCTGCAAGTATATATAAATTTTGGTTTGCCGAAGTTTGCTTCCGTTCTTGACTTAAAAGAGTTCGCATAAAATTTATTTTTTATACGAATGGTTTAAGCTAAACTATACGTATATAGTTAAATTAAACCAATAATGGGGACCTTAATTGTAGCTGACTGAAACCCCAATATCTCTACACAATTAAAATCCATGAAACTTGTGACTTTTACAAAAATGTTATTGTATCCATGTTTACTATAGATAAATTTGTCTAATGGTACATCATAATATCTGTGCTTTGGTACAGACACATATAGGCATCGCAAAAAATACGCTTAGCGTGTTCAGGTAATTCTTTATCATTCGTTGAAGTTTCATTTATAGATCGTGCGCCTTCATCCGAGAGCCAATGTGTTAATTCTGGTACACACGTAATTTCAGGTATATTGTATCCATTCTGTTCACCTGAAATAATATTTAAAAAAATATATTTAGCTAGGTCATTAAACACTATAAAATGAAGTTATAAATTTATTGGAAAAAAAACCAGATGAAACTTGAGTAGATTGTAGGCTATTTTAATAGAGAACCAATATATAATGCAAAGGTGAAAAATATAAGTGAATGTCCTTGGACAGCATAATGTGATCACAAATTATCGAGGAACAGAGCTTATGCAGCTTACCTTTTCTGTCAGCCATTGAATCGAAAAAACACCATGGTGCATCAGGTCCGGAACCAGACTTAACGAAAGCCACATAATGAGACGTTTCTATGCAAACAACAGCAAATAATTCCATGTACAATCGCGGGACAACCATGTGCTCGGCCATAATTCTAAATTCTTTCGGACTGAAGATCTTTTTCGACACATGATTAGTTCTGAAAATAAAAGATTATTTTTTAAAGTTTTTAAAAGTATTTTCTTAATAAAATCACCAAACCTTTTGATGTGAGAGTGAAAAGTTTCAAGACATTTGGGACAAAACGCGGTACATTCAAGTCCTGATCCAGTTTGCAGGCTTGCAAAGCACTCACGGCATTCATACTCAGCAAGTTTTCCACAAAGCGAGCATTGTCGAGGAGCTAAAATGAGTCGATCTTAACATTAAGAATCCAAATGCCAAGTAATTGTGTAAACTTACAATTCTCAATGATGTCTGTTACATCCAGTACTTGCGATGGCAATATTCTTGGATACATCTTAAAATTTTTTCCAAAACGAGGCATTTGGATGATAAAACAAGAAGGAACCTCTTTTAGCTTTATTTCCGAAGAGTGGAAGCTTTGTTCAAACAGTTGCTGAACACTTGGTAACTTTAACTTTTCATCCTTCTCCACAAATAGTTGGTAGAAATAAGAATCTTGCCCCGAGCTTAGCTAAAAAAATATTGTAATTTTGTAGTATATATATGTACGTAAAAATATATTTAGCACCTTTAAAAATGGTTCAACTCGCATAATTTGTGAGAGTAAGCTATTTAGGAACTCTTCAGGATCTTTCTCCTCGCAGGTAAGACCGCTAACAGAACTAAGCTGATCCAGTAGCTCCCGAAGTTTCATTACTCGATCAGATCGCACAAAAACGTTTTTTCGCAATGGGTTGACAATTTCATCGCGCAAAACCTTTTGGACTTCACTGTAATTACGAATGTCCTGTCGGATGCATAATAAATTACCAGTACTAGGTTGAAATTTAAAGATCTTACTTGTGGTCCCGGATGTCTGTACAGAATTGAATCAAAAACACTGGTGAACGTAAACATCGAAAATAGGGTTGCATCAAGATAGCAGGAGTTATGATGTCCTTGTATTCCCTTAAACTTTCCGCAAATGTTTGCAAGCTCCTCAGAGCTGTGCATCTCTACAAAACAATTCAAATTCTGTAAGTATTCTTATTTACTTAAATAATCTGTGATGTAAATAGCTTACCCAATGGCGGAACCGAACCGTAAATAGCGGGACAGTCAGCGACGCCAAATTTCTTAGCCTGGTTATTGGAAGCTCTACTTGCAGGAATACTGTTATCTACATCAGCGAACCGTCGGTCAGCAGTACATCTGTTGGCTGATACAAACACAGCTCGACCCTCATGGCAAGTGAATAAGCTTAAATAATATAGAAAACAAAACACAGTTTTTTAGTATACATCTATTAAAGTAAGTAAAAGTTCAAAAGTTGCATTACAATGGGCCAATTAGTCATTTAAAGCAATAATTTAATTATTTAACATGTCAAATTACATTTACATTTAAAGTAAACAAATCTTTTTAAAATCATTTCTAATCTTTAAGAGCTTTTTGATTTTATAATATATGTATTTTTACATATGAACCAATAATTGTTATGGGATGTAGCTAATGTTATAAATAATATCATACCGAACACCATTATGCTTTCCATCTGATGTCAAAACATTCTTCAAATTGGATTCGTCTTCAGCCTCTATTCCAACGAGCACGTTTTTCGGTGTCCCAGGCGGGATGCCAATCCATCTAATAACGCCGTACAGGTCTTCACACACTGCAGAGCTCGAAACTTCTACCAGGGAACCAATAGCTAACTCTGTTCCTGGTATTTCATTCAGAGGCTGGTAATCAGCAATTGTAAAACCTAAAATGAATAGAAAATATTTATTTGTTTCAAAATCGACTTATACAACAAGCTTCCTCATAAACGCAAAATAAAATTTATAACATTAAATATTTGCGAAATCGTGCTATGATTTCGTAATCAAACGTACCCGGCTCTTTGGGCCTGTAATTCGGAGAATAAAATTCCAGCACAGTTAATGGGATATTGTTGTGAATATCTGACTCAGAAGACAATGCTTTCTGGTAAAGATTCATTTTCCAAAATTGCACAACACAGTTTCTTCAATAAATGTAATATTTTTCAGAAGTTGAGACCTGACAAAGTTCAATATAAATAAAACTCCTCAACAAACTGCATGTATCAACACAGAGCACTGGCATTTTACGTGATCGTAAATAGAATATATGTATTTGTATGTATTTGCCGGCGATCTATAAATAAATACACATTTTCTGTCTGTGATGTTTTGCAATATAGCAGTTTGAACAAGGGACTTACAAAAAACTGTAATATCTTGGCTATTATAGTTTCAAGAATAACTATTTTGTAAGTAAAATTGCTCGAGTGGTTTTAGTGACCGTATAGTGATCGTATAATATTGATAATTAAACATAAATAACATTCTAAAATTCGCAAGTTGTTTTGAAAAAAAAGTTTGTATATAAAAATATGTTTGTAAATGTTTTTAATACCTTTACAACTGTAATAAAAACATTGTATTTTTTTCTTTTTTGAATACTATAGAATGGAGCATTTTCTAGATCAAAATGTAACAATCAGTTTTTGTAAGATTATGGAGATATTTTAAATTTCTAAACAGACATTCTCGAGGCCCCTTTGCCGACACCAAAATTACAAAAAGACTACAAGTTTACGACTATAAAATCATTTTAGTGTTTAAAAGTAAAAGCAGTTTTAAAACTTATGAGAAAACAAATAGGTCCCTTAGATAACAAAATTGAATAAATTAATATAAGTAGTATAAGTAATTCATAAATCGATTGCTTATTTTAGAAGTGTGTTCCATGAACTGTAAACTATCAAAGATTACTTTGGTGAAACTTATTTAAAAATTAAAAAAAACACAGGAATACGTTCCTAAATTTGAATTAAACAAATAAATAATCTTACGTAAAGGTTCCTCTGTTTCTATTTTTGTTAAAATGGGGGAAGCTGCTTTTAAATTTGAGTCTTCGCAAGTGGTAGGTTCCGTAACTGTTTTGCTTTTGTTGTTTAAAATCATAGCAGCCACACCTGCACGTTTGGGCCAATTGGATCCAAGAATGTCGGCCAAATCCACATCCTCGTGATAGTTATTTTCGACAGAACCACGATTGGTATCGCTGTTTCTAATATTGAAAGTTATTTAGTTATATATAATTAATACTATCAGTGCGACTTACTTTAATATTCCATTCTTTCTGTTAGGAATCTTTTTCGAGTAAACTTGGGTCTTGTGTTCGCTCTCGTTGGATAGTTCAAAGTTCTCCAGTGAGTCTCCAAATCTATTAGTAATGGTCAACTTTTTTTCTTTTTCTGCTTCATGATCGGATTTGGAATTCATTATTTCCAACTAAAGGCTAAAAAATAATTTGATAATTAAAAAAACGCCATATTTACAAAAAATAAATTGGTCAAAAGCGGCTTGTTTCAGTAGAGTTCTATGGGCACTATTTGTGTGGCAAAGAATGAACAACCTACGTTTAAACATTTAAATGTACTTTGTAAGTTAAACCGAAATCAGCCTTGATTATTGATGTAAGTGCATTTGTTTGCATTCAGTTACAAACAAATGTATGTATGCATGTATGTACTCTACATCAGGTTGCTCTAAAATCAAATTTAATTAACATGCATTATTTCCAGACTAAATTGCGCGCACAAATCGTGCTTAAAGATGAAGACAAATCAAGAAACATGAAATTACTATTACTATTCCTCCACAGTTTTCGTTTATTGATAAAAACAATGACACACAACATCGCCAGTACATCGCTTTGCGAAGATGGGTGCCGACCGGATTTCGCATTGACCAATTCATTTTTTACCAAACTTTATAATATTATTAGTTCCAAACCGATATTTTTAACATACAAATTATAAGTTTGTTATTTCCGTGAATTTTATTTTAGTATTTATACAATTTGTGTCTTTTAGAATGCGATTGGAATGAATTCAGGATATCGGTATCGATTTCACGGCAGTTGGCAATTCACATTGAGGGTGTTCCTTTAAAGAAGATTGTTGTTTAATATTTCTTAGTTGAAAATATTTTTTATGAATGAACCAAATGAAAAAGAATCAATAAAATTTAATTATTTGTCTCTTAAATCTATTTTTTTCCCAGGGTATTAAAATCACTTATTTATTGTTTCTAAGATTATGATTCGTTTACCAAATTAGAACATCATGATTCATTAACGATTTACATACTTTTATATAATACTATAATTTATTAGCAAAGAATATAATATTATACTCTAATAATTATTCTATTGTAAGGGGTAGTTGAGAGTTCAAATAGGCCCAGTCTCAGTCCATTGAGATATTTATAAAATAAATATTCTAATTGCAAAGAAAAATTATTAATTGGTGTTTAAAAAATATACAATGAGGAACATTTTTGATTTCCGAAAATTTTTTTAATAGCATAACTGGGCACAGGTCCTTGCAATTTTGGTTTAGGTCTACAGCTAATTCGCCTTTTACTTCTGAGCTATCTCTGCCGCTGTCGATGGAACTTGTAACTCCATATTTATAGCATTTTGAAAGGCCATTGGTTGCAGCTGAACAAATTGGAATGGCATGGAAAAGGGAATCCCGCGGAAGGCATTAGAAGATTCCTGCGGACTTAAGTCTAAATTTGAACTATTTAGAAATTCTGGAGCTGAGTTGGCGGCTTCCAAATCTTTTCCCGTAATATTAAAATGGTTAGTGGGGCCCACAAGTTTCAGAGAAACTGCATCACGTCCAGAAGAAGTTGGTTCAATATTACTTTTGGTTACGTATTCGTGATTATATTGCGGCGGTATTGCATTTCGATAGTCTTCTATCCTGGGAGGATGTTCCAGCTCTTTGGATTTGTATACCCTGTTATAGTAATTGGATGAAGGCAGGGAAGAAGGTTCATGTTCTCTTGGCGGCGGATGATCAAGTTCCATGTTAAATTTAAACTCTTCAGCACGGGGATAGTTTTCAAAAGGTGACGGCTCGAATTTATATGGCTCACTGGATCGAATGTAAATGGGAACCTTGCGTTCTACCTCAACTTTAAAGGGAACTGGAACTTTCTTCTCGACTGGAACTTTGATTTCCACCGGATACGGAACTGTCCGAAGAACGGGATATGGTTTCGGAACATGAACTATTTTTTCAACTATTTTCTCGACTACATACGGTTTTGGTACATGAACCGGTTTTGGAATGTGAATCACCTTCTCAACGATTTTTTCGATTGGTACGTGAATTATTTTCTCAACCGTAACATTCACCAGCTTTGGAACATGAACGATCTTTTCCACAATTTTCTCAATGGGTACGTGCACAACCTTTTCCACGGGGTAAGGTTGTGGAACGGTTTTTATCATTTCCTTAATGTGATTGTGATGATGGTGGTGATGGTGATGTTTAATCTTAACTCTCATCCGCTTTCCATCCTTACTCGAATGATCTTTTACGTTTTCGTGGAGGATTGATTGTGTTCCGATTTGCTCAGAGGCTTGGTACTGTCCATCATCCTCTTCTATGTGCTCATGAATTTCTTCAAATGTATGATAATGCTTACTCTCCGAATTATTATCGGAGTAATTGTGACCAACATTTTTCCTTCTAGCATTTGACGGCTTATATTTTATTTTGTGTTTTGTTATTTTTTCGGATGGCGATTGATATGTTTTCACACCCCGTTTTAAAGTAATGTTTCGATCAGCGTCTCGATTATAACGTTGCATTTCCATTTTTTCCGGCCTTCTTCCACTACTGTGCATTGATACTTTTCCAAACTCAGGATAGCTCCAATCATGACTTTCAACATTACTGCTTTTATTTACAGCATATGAATCGCTTCTCACGGCATTTCCTAAAATTATTAAAGCTGTATACAAGTATCCAGGAAACAAAATTATCTGTAATAGAAAAACATGTAAGTAAGGAATATTTTATAAAACCCCAAACTGTTTTTGAAATATTGTGTTTAGCTTACCATTGAGTTCATCCTTTAAAATTTATACTGTCTCGCTTAGATTTGTGATGTTGCTTGTTGAACGCCTTTAACAGAAATGATTTTTTCGCCAGTCCAAGAAAGTATTTATATAAACATGAAACATAATTAAAAATGTAAAAAAGTTATAATACTTACACTAAACATTGTATACACTATTTTTTAAAAAAGATCACTGTTAAATACCAAAAAAAAAAATATGCATCCAAATTATCAAAGTTTTTTTTTTTAATTATTTTAATACTAATAAAATATTACATTTATTATTTTTAATATGATTTTTACTTTTCATGTATTTGTGCTACGTTATAAAACTTGCTCTCTTCACTTTGCCGCAAAATTTTAAAACGATTAACATACCTCTTAAAAAGGGCATAAAACAGCACAAGACTACTTATATTTTTACGATTCAAAGCCCGCGATCGCGTGATGGAAGTTTAAAATGTATTTGTACGAGTGTACAAGTGCAATATTTTAATAAATGTTTGAAATTTCTCTAGGTGAATATTTCGTATATGTAGTAATTAAAGTGCATTGAGCTTTAATTTACGGAAATGCTATACATTGCGTAATTTCCTGCAGTATCCGATGCAGTTTGCAACAGTACATAAACTGCATTTTCCGGAAACCCATTTTTGATTAAAGAACAGGGTTAAGTAATTTCCCAATTTCAACCAAAAAACATTATTGAAATAATTTTTACGAACTTTTTTTACTCTTTATGCAACTTCTCCATATTAAGTAAGATCATTCCATTACACACAAAGATCAAACAAAATATTATTAGACATACGTGTTATGGATATATTGACTGTATAAAATCAACAAAAGTGAACTTAGTCTAACTCGATTCTATTCTCTAAAAATAGGCTTCCCGTGTGCATTTTAGACTCCTTAATTTTTAAGTGTGAGTTTAGCAAATCATCCATGGTGATGTTAACGTTATTTCGGTCCAGGGCTTCACCGGATTGGTCACTCGCCACGATAAGCTGCCGCATCCTGAAAACTGATGCATTGCGACACATTTCTCTCAGGTCTGAGCCTGAGAAGCCATTCGTGAGCTTAGACAAACGATTCAAGTCAACATCTTGGCTTATTTCTTCCGATTGCAGTATTAATTTAAGGATGTCGTTTCGCTGTGTCTCGGAAGGGAGGCCAATGTGGAACTGGGCTGGCATGCGGCGGACAATGGCCTTATCCAAATCCTGAGGCCTGTTTGTGGCGCCCATCACAATCACCGTTGAGTTGGAATTCGTACTGAGGCCATCCCACAGCATCATGAACTGGGTTTTCATCATAGCGGTGGCCTCGTGGTCGTTCAAGTTCCGGGATCGCAGAAAGGAATCGATTTCGTCAATAAAAATAATGCATGGCTCGATTTTCGCAGCAAGGGAAAAGACGGCGGAAGTCAGTTTCTGGGATTCCCCGTACCATTTATCGGTGAGAATGGCGACGTCCAAGTTGATAAAGCGCATTCCCGCCTCCTTTGCCGTGGCCTTGGCTATTAGCGTTTTTCCGCAACCAGGCGGTCCGTGGAGAAGAACGCCTTTCGGCGCTTGCCAAAGCTTTGAGCGCTTGAAGAGATCCTTGTGCTGGACAGGCAGAACCACTGATTCTCGGAGCTCTTGAATGACAGAATCCAGACCTGCGATATCGGTCCAACTGACTGTTATGTCGGCGGGAACAACCAAATGTGACGCAATCATTAACTCATAGTCGTTGAATTCCTGTGGGTTCAGTTTGAACCCGTCTTTCTCGGCCAGTCTGCAACACAAGATATACGTTTAGTTAGGCCATCAATTCGGTTTCTTATCTAAAACTATTAAACACCTCTTCAACTGCTCTTCTGCTAAGATTTTAGCTTTTTTCTTATTTTTACTAGTCGGGTCCATCTGGTTCATCATCCATTTCACCGAATAATATGTTATCAGTGAAGCCACAGACAGACGAATCAGGACTTGGAACATTTGTCCTTTGCTTAGCTCGACTCCTCCAAAGCCGAAATTATCCATGTTTCAGCTGAAATTCTATCGAAGTAAGAGGGTTTCAACAAATCTGATTTTTTTGTTCTTCTTCTTTCCATGCACTGGACGCCAGTGTGACCATGTACAATAAAACAGTATGAAAAAGAAAGAGGGTGTTCAATTGTAAAATAAATGTTTCTTTCCCATTATTCCAGCCATTAAATATCAATTTTAGTGTCCCAAAGTTTATTAAGGGGTTATCCGGGTCTTGACACTTCAAAAAATTCATTTTTTTCAAACTTTTTTATATAATAGTACAAAGTTACAGGAATGTTGTCTGAAAATTTCAAGTCGATCGAAGCAAAACTGTAGGAATGGGAGAAATTTAAAGCCCAGCGCGTCGAACGTCACAACGGGCAATTCGGAATCTGGCGTCGAGCAGATGCGGCACTTTAAACGCGTTTTTCTCAAAACCACTTTTTTGAAGTGGGTAGTCACGATTTCTCAAAAACTATGGCACCGATCAACTTCTGCTTTTGCACACTTCTTTTAGACATAATTCTCTTGTCCTTAACGGAGGGATTTTTAAAATGTTTAATTACAACTAATTTTATAAGCCAAAATATGGCCAACATTTACGTAAAATATAATACTTTTTATGAAAAGCGCTAAAAAAAAATTCAATTTTTAAATTTAAAAAAAAATGGCTCGTAGAGGACAAGCGAGACACATACACTATCAGAATAAATTTGGTTTTTTGATTGCAGATAAAAATTGACGGAGATATTTTGCCTACCGCAAGGACACAATGTTTTATGGGGTCAAGTTCAAACCTGCCTCTACGGCTCAATTTTAAAAAATTTTGGTTCAAACTTTTACGCAATGTTGGTCAAACCATAAACATTAATGCACAATAAATTAAATTTTTGAAATTGTCGTAAGATCTTTTAAAAAAAATTCACGAAAATAGGCTTTTTTCGTGCTTCAAGACCCGGATAACCCCCTAAAGCAGATATCATTATTAAGTATAAGCAATTAAATTTCTAATAATCAGGTTGTTATATTAACCGCATTTGAAAATAAAATATTTAAAACTCAAAACATAAAATATGTGATATTATTTCATTAATATTTAAATCTCTAAACACAATATATTTGATATACGATCTTGAGTTGCTTAAAACCTTAACTTTTTTAATATGTAATATTATTTCATTAATATTATGTTTTGTTCAATTGATAAAAAAGTAGAAATTAATATTACAACTTGTTTTAGGGAGTATAGTATTTGGGGTCAATACCCCATATTTTTAGTTTGGCGTCAATCCATGGACGAAGTTTGGCAACGCTGGCATACACTCCGGGGATGTTTTCTTCTCCACAACCGACTCCCCAGGCAACAATACCAGCTGACTTAAATCGATCCTTTTGGCCCTTAATCGGGCATACTAAAGGGGATCCGCCATCGCCCTTGCACGTATCCTTATCCTTTTCTCCACCAGCGCAAATGAAGCTGTCGTGGAGATTGAAGTGCCTTCCGAGGCGGGTTTCGCGCAAGTTCGTCTGGCACTGTTCCTCCGGCACCACGGGCATATCCACCTTCTTCAGGATAACTTGGTATTCTCCGTCTTTGCCGAACTTGTTTTTGCCCCAACCAGTTGCATAACAACGTTCGAAATCGAAGTTATCACCCAGATTGGGCAGGCAAACAGGTTGGATGTTCATTTGGGAGGTAAATGGGCTTTCCAGTAACATAACTGCCACATCGTTATAAAGGGCTCCTTTGTTAAACTGTTCATGATAAACTATATTCTTGACATAGCGGTCCTCATGAGGTATGATTTCATTCGTTGTTTGAGTATCCCATTCGCCAGCTCTCACTGAAATCAAAAGATAAAGATAAAATATCTTAAAGGTGACATTTACTTACCAACAATGGAACTTGGCTGTTTGTTTCGAACACAATGAGCTGCAGTCAAAACCACATTTGGAGCTATCAAAGCACCTCCGCATTCGTAGAAGCTACGTTGGCCATCTTCTCGAAGAATTGCTAGCATCCAAGGGAATTCCCCGAATTCGGTCTCCTGGTTTTCAGCCCCGGTAATTTTAAATCCCACGCCGTTGGAATTTTTATATCCACAGCCTTCGGGAATTTCGGATATTGGGAATATTGGATCGGGTCTCTTAATAATAAAATTGGGATTGTTGTAATTTAATAAGCTACTATTACCCATAGTTTATACAGTATACCTTATTTGGAATATCACAGCATAAATCCAAATAGTTTTTGCACTCTGATCCCGAATCGATTCGAATATCAATTGTACCTTCGCCACTGGTGTTAATCGTGCCATTTGCACACAACCAACGAGGTACACATTCTTTTTGATCACCGCATGACTGATATTGGGCAGATCCTGATCCTGATCCGGAGTCTTTTGGGTTGACAACAGGAGCAACAGAACTGCCTATTGGGGCTTGTGTGGTGGAACTGGGGGTTTCATCGGTTTTGAAGATGTCATTAATCAAGTCCTTCAATGAAGAGTCCTGCGCTCCAGAAGTGAATATACAGGCACATATTACAAGGCAATTGAATAATATCATATTACTGAAAAACAGGATATGAAAATAATAAATAATAAATTTAAGTCAAACAATAAAAAAGTAAACTTCGGCAAGCCGAATAATAAAATTGAACAATAGCTTCTTTGTTCAATTTCAATAATATGGGCATTGCTATCGAAATAAAAGCTTAAGTATCGGCGGTATAACAAATTTTATAGTTGGAAAATCGCACTTAGCTTGGTAAATGGAAAATATCCCAAACAGAATGACATATTTTATTGAACAAAGCAGATACGGAAGTTAAGAGTTCATCCAATAATGCAAATAGTAATGAGATCAATTTGGGGATGCATTCTTCTATTTCACTATTTCCCTATCTGATCAAAATATACATATATATTTATCGATACATTCTTTTCTTAAATATATGAACTCCTATTTTAATTAAGCAGTGATGTCGTAATTAAAACTAATAACCATTGAAATAATCGTTCATATTTTCATGTAGTTATCGAAAGATTTTGACCGAATAAACATACAAATAAATGTGCTTACAAGTTTAGACTGTCTTAAAAAGTTGTCAGAGTGACCCCTCACATATAATTGCATCTAATTTACCTTCATAAAAAGTTGGCTTGGAATAAAAATTAAATTTCATAATAATAAAATTATAGACAATCGCACACAAAATCTTTCATTATATGTATATATGTACATAAAAGATGCACGACTGAACAATGATTAACATAAGTTTTTCGAGAATAAAATAGACAAGCAACTGGTTTGTGTAATAATGGCACGTTATAAAATGTATATTTACATATGTACATAAGACCGCAATATTTTCTATACTGTATTCATTGAACTTTAATATCTGCGAAATTAGGTACACTAAATGTGGGGACCCGCTTTTACTATGTTTTTCTGCATTTAAAGCACGCCAGGATATTTTTGGAGGGAGTCTTAGGGACAGCGCATTGGATTCAATGCTTATCACATATCACATATTAACTGACATAACACGTCGCATGAGTCATTTTTAGGGAAACCTGGAGGCCATTGCGCGACATTTAAAGTAAAACCTTTTGGTTTTCGAATACATTTATTGCGCTCCAAAATCTATCACATTAAACGAAGTTAGGAATTTTATTTTACATCTATTCAAAATGCATGTTACCGTATATAACATTTACTGGGAAGATATTTATAAATACAAATTTTGAACACTAGTTTTTACATTATTTTTATTTTTTCGTTTTTATTTATTATAAAACTTACCTCATCAATGAAACCTTTTTATTGCGACAAGGTAGCGAAAGGTTCGGAAGGGAATAAAGAAAATACTCAACTGATTTGCTTTGATTTCTGAATCAATCTTAAGTTTCGGCTGGCGATCTTTGCTACCGACAAAAAGCTTTAAGCTGCTTTAAAACAAAGTTCGCAGCTTTACACACTGAAAAACATTTGTATCAATTGGAAACTTCAAAAGCTGAAAAACCATTTAAAATAAAATACAAATAAGTGTCATTATTTATAAAAAAAGTAGTTCTTAAGCCACTTTACGTTATTCATTTTCAAATGTTACATCTTTCTCTTAGGGTGTATAGTATTTGGGGTCAATATTCCATATTTTTAGTTTGGCGTCTATCCATGTACGAAGTTTGGCAACGCTGGCATACACTCCGGGGATGTTTTCTTCTCCACAGCCGATTCCCCAGGCAACAATACCAGCTGACTTAAACCGCCCCTTTTGGCCTTTAATGGGGCATACTAAAGGAGATCCTCCATCGCCCTTGCACGTATCCTTATCCTTTTCTCCACCAGCGCAAATGAAGCTGTCGTGCAAAATGAAGTGCTTTCCGAGGCGGGTTTCGCGCAAGTTCGTCTGGCACTGTTGCTCCGGCACTACGGGCATATCCACCTTTTTCAGGATAACTTGGTATTCTCCGTCTTTGCCGAACTTGTTTTTGCCCCAACCAGTTGCATAACAACGTTCGAAATCGAAGTTATCACCCAGATTGGGCAGGCAAACAGGTTGGATGTTCATTTGGGAGGTAAATGGGCTTTCCAGTAACATAACTGCCACATCGTTATAAAGGGCTCCTTTGTTAAACTGTTCATGATAAACTATTTCCTTGACATATCGGTCCTCATGTGGTATGATTTCATTCTTTGTTTGAGTATCCCATTCGCCAGCTCTCACTGAAATCATTAGATCAACATTTGGAAATCTTGAGAATAATATTTACTTACCAACAATGGAACTTGGCTGTTTGTTATGAACACAATGAGCTGCAGTCAAAACCACATTTGGAGCTATCAAAGCTCCTCCACATTCATACAAGTTAAGTGGGCCGTCTTCTCGAAGAATTGCTAGCATCCAAGGGAATTCCCCGAACTCCGCTTCCTGGTTTACAGCTCCGGTGATTTTAAATCCCACGCCGTTGGGATTTTGATATCCGCAGCCTTCGGGATTTTCGCGTATTGGGAATATCGGGTCAGGTCTCTTAATAATGAAATTGGAATTGTTGTAATTTAATAAGCTACTATTACCCATATTTTGTACAGTATACCTTATTTGGAATATCACAGCATAGATCCAAATAGTTTTTGCACTGTGAGCCCGAATCGATTCGAATATCAATTATACCTTCGCCGCTGGTGTTAATCGTGTCATTTGCACACAGCCAACGAGGTACACATTCTTTTTGATCACCGCATGACTGATATTGGGCAGATCCTGTTCCTGATCCGGAGTCTTTTGGGCTGACAACAGGAGCAACAGAACTGCCTATTGGGGCTTGTGTGGTGGAACTGGGGGTTTCATCGGTTTTGAAGATGTCCGCAATCAAGTTGTCCAATGAAGTGTCCTGCGCTCCGCAAGTAAATATGCAGGCGCATATTACAAGCCAATTAATAAATATCATATTACTGGAAAACAAAATATGCTAAATAATTACATATATGAAATTTAGGTCAAAAAGCTCATTTAAATGAAGACAAGTTCAGTGATGTAACGGCGAATGTTATTGCTGGAATATCGCACTTAACACAATAAATGGAAATCCCCCGAACAGAATGACACATTTTATTGGATAAAACAGATACGGAACTTAAGCTTGCATCCATTACTGCTTTCTCCTCATAAAAGTATAAATTCATTATCTTATCAACTTGGCTTGGCTTTCTTTTCTGTATTTTAATATTAAACTATGGGAACATCAAAAAATATGGGTCACCAACATATATGTATATGTATTTATATTATTTTAAATATGTACATATTAAGCGATTACATATGTATATCTCGCTCTTGTGTCCATAAACTTTCAAGCATTAAAATTAGTTCAGGCGATAAGAAATCCATGTATTTACGGTATTACTTTTAAATGTGTTTAGGTTGGGTACATTTTTAATGCCAATAAACCCAATAACCATCCTAATTTGAACTTATTTATTTAAAAGTAATGCAATCGCGAAAAAATATATTTTACAAATGTAAATAAAAATGTATGTACATACAAGTTTAACCCATCCTAAAATATAGTCAGAAGCCCTTATAACATGATCACTTGGAATAACAATTAATTTAATTTTCTCACAAGTATAAAAACCATAGTAATAAATCTGTTTAGGGGACCACAAAAAAACTTTTAATTAAATACCATGACTTTAATGTTAGCAATAAGTTTTTTGCGAAATAAAATAGACAAATAACTGGTTTCAGTTTCAAGTAAAAATGACACATGATAACATTTATATATACATATGAACACTCTTATGTATGTGCTTTTAAATGTACTAAAGACAGAGATATTTTCTATACTTTATTCATTGAACTTTAACATCTCACAGATTAAATACACTTAATAAACATACATATGTATGTATATGTATATTCATGGCACATGTTACTAAACATAATAATGGAAAGACATTAATTAGTACACAAATAAAAATTAAATTATAAGTTTTTTTTTATAATAATACGTACCTCATCAATAAAATTTATTTATTGTAAATAGGTAGCGGAAGGTTCGGAAAGCAATGAAGAAAATACTCAACTGATTTGATTTCTTATTCAATCTGTTGTTTGAGCTAGCGATCTTCGCTTTCGACGAGAAGCTTTAAAGCTGGTTCAAAATGAAGTTCTCAGGTATTACACAGTGAAAAATATTTTTATGCTGGAAATGCTGGAGATCACTTAAAAAGAATTAATTGTTTTTTTTTTTAGGTATACGAAAATTGTTTGAATTAGATATAGAAATCGACCATTGGCTCCAGAAAATGAAAACATATCTGCAATAAGGGGACCCCTTATTATTTTTCGTCAGTTCTATAAGGGGTTAACCCTATCCAATTTTTCGAAAAATGGCTTTGCAGAAAAGTGACCAAAAACGTGCACTTCTAAGCCCATAACTTTTCTTACAGACTTCGAATTACAATGTGGCTTATCTCAAAATGAGTTGAATTCTCTAAAAATCTGTATGGGGACCCCCATTCTCGATTTTAAATTTTGACGATTTTTAATGGGCTGGAAAATGTGAAATAATTTGATTTATTTATTTTTTATTGCATCCATTTATTTGAAGACTTAAATAATAAGAAAAAAATTTAACATACAAATAAAAGCTCTTATTTTCGTCGGCGCTTGGGATTTAAGCTCACTGGAACATCTGAAAACAAAAATTACAACGGGATTAGGAAGAGTATATGTATGGCTATGGCATGAACTAGGATTTTTAAATTCGGACAAAAATTAAAAAAATGGCGGACCTTTGAAATTTTTTTTTTTTAATCGCCTTCTTTTCAGCCACAAATCAAGGTAAAAAGTAAAGAATGTCTTCGCCGATTTGATTTATCCTAGTTCATGTATAGCTATATATGCATAGAAAAACGTACTAAAATTTGAAACCGATTGGAATAATAGTTTTTTAGTAATCTCTTACGCCAGTCCTTAAAATACTGTTTCGAGAAAAACGCGTTTAAAGTTTTGAGAAGCTCTCGCCGTCGTCTGACGCTTCCACAACAAATCGGCTATATCTTCAAAAGTTTTTGTAATTTTCACTTGAAATTTTAAAGGATCATTCTTGAATAGTTATAGTTAAAAAAAAAAACGATTTTTTGAAACCGAGAATGGGGGGATCCCCTTATTATGTGAATTATTAAATAGAATTTTCTGTTCTGTAGGATAACCTCTGAGAATTATGACCTTTTCGCATTTTAAAATAATTTAAGTGCATTTTAAGTTTTATTTATTATAATAATAGTACATACTCAGTTAAATCCTTGATGCACTGCATCCGGTCAAAGTAAGATGGTATCACTGTGAGCCTTCTGCAACCGCTCCCCAATCACGCACATACATATATGATCTGGAGTTCTAATTTATATTTGTAAATTACTATGTTAATTTATAATAATATAATTTACGTACCTTAAGAGGTCCTTGATCCTACATCCTGGTGACAATACAACTCAGATTGTACAACCATGGGTCATCTGAATCCACTCAAGAAACACACACTCACACTTTCAGACATCCGAGTGAACTAATTTATGAGCTGCCACAACCCATAGGTCGTAATTTTTTGGCTAGAACTGGTTGGGAATTATAATTCCGAGGGAGAGGAAAAATTAACTTTGACGATGACGGGGCCAGTTTTACATTTTGTTAACATTACAATAGCATACATTGATATTATCTAAAATTTACCAAGTGTTATGTTGACTGTTAATTGTTAATTGCTTATTTATGATTAATGATTGTTGATTAGTAATTGTTGATTGTAAATTGTTGATAGTTGATTGTTGATTATTGACTGTTGCTTGTTTATTGTTGAAAGTTGATAATTGATTGTTGACTGTGCATTGATAATTGTTGCATGTTGCATGTTGCATATTGCATGTTGCATGTTGCATGTTGCATGTTACATGTTACATGTTGCATGTTACATGTTACATGTTGCATGTTGCATGTTGCATGTTGCATGTTGCATGTTGTATGTTGTATGTTGCATGTTGCATGTTGCATTTTACAAGTAGAATGTTGAATGTTGCATGTAGCATTTTGCATGTTGAACGTTGCATATTACATGTTGCATGTTGAATGTTGCATGTTTGTTGTATGTTCTATATTGTATATTTTAGCATGTTGCGTGTTGAATTTAGCATGTTACCCTTATTAATTTTTATGTTGTATGCAGTATATTTTATGCTGTATATTGTTGGATATTGGTTTATAGAGGAAGTGCGCAGGTTGTGTTTAAAATGGCCTGACCTTATTCTTATCATAGAATATTTAATTTCAGTAACAGCTGCAATTGTTTATAAACTTGAGCCTGTCGAAGTTTGCTTCCTTTCTTTTTTTACTTTAACGTTTCTTTTCGATGTATTTCAATAAGTTAAACGGAATTGAAACACCGTTTCGATAACGCAGCTATCGAAAGCATCAATGTGTCTATGCCTTTCGTTTCTAACTGTGTGTGGGTAATATTTGATGCGTATACATATACAAATGATGAACAGAAATTCTTATTCTATTCATCATATGTACACATATTTGTAATTCTAAACGAAACGCCGATCCTAATTATTCAGTATTTACAGAAACATGGAGTCATTTAAGCAAAATGACGGCAATCGTGATGAGTTAATTATTCAGCAGCAACGGGAGATTGAGAAGGAAGTAAGTGTGCAGTAAAAAAATTTAAAAATGTAAAGTACAATAATGCAAAATTCGAATATCTTTAGATTAGTGATACTACACCCCTGGTTAGCGAGCAGTTGCCGCTAACTTGCTTGTGGGCCGAATACAATGGCGACGACATATTCACCGCCAAGATCCAGGATCTGTCCACAAAGTACAAGTTTATTCGCCGCACCCGCCCCGATGGAAATTGTTTCTTCAGAGCTTTCGCATACTCATACTTGGAGTATTTGATCTCAAACAGTTCTGCTTATCAGGAGTTTCGAAAACTGGCCGAAGAGTCTAAGGATAAGCTCGTACAGCTGGGTTTTCCTAGTTTTACATTAGAGGACTTTCATGAGACTGTAAGTTTGCCCTCACAAACTAGCCGAATTCTTAATGATTTTGTTATCTCTTTAGTTTATGGAAGTCATCAAGCGCGTTAGTCCCGACAATCCAGGTGGACCCAGCAAGGTCCAGAGCGAACTGCACAAAATCTTTAATGAGCAGGGATATTCAGATTATGTAGTGGTTTATTTACGTCTGATTACGTCGGGAAAACTTCAGGAGGAGGCCGACTTTTACCAAAATTTTATAGAGGGCGACTTTACAATTGAAGAGTTTCGTCACCAAGAAGTTGAACCTATGTATAAAGAATCGGATCATATCCACATAATCGCCTTGTGCACCGCCCTGGGTGCGGGAGTCCGTGTGGAATACTTAGACCGTGGAGAGGGCGGCACTGTCAAAGCTCACGATTTCCCCGAGGGAACAGAGCCCCGAATTTACCTGATATATAGACCCGGTCACTACGATATACTGTATCCAAATTGAATTTCTCTTCACAATAATTTTTATGTATATAAGATGTAAAATAAATTACCAATTATTTGCATATAAAATATTCCGTTGGAATTTATATTAAATCCTTTTAGGATCTTTATTGGATCTATTGGGTGTTAAGACAGTCATCCTAAAAATTAACTATCGAAAACAGAAACGCACTTTTTACACATATCGTAGATGTTAATTTATTTAAACACTAATCTTTATTATTTGATTTGAACGATCGTGATAGTGACATAATGAAATTGTCTAATGTTTTATAAAATATTAAGTTTTATTAACGGTATTTCGCCATCATTTCTTCGGGAAATTTCTGGCGATGCGCAGACAATGAGAGGTTGACAATAATCTCCCGGTCGTCCATCCGTCAGGCGCCTCCACAGTACGATTTAATTGTAGGATGATATTGACCACAAGATTTCAGCTCAGTAAAGACTTCCGTAAAAAATCCAGGCTCAGCATTGATTTTAAGCATTTTATCACTTAGCTTGTTTACAATGACTAGACATCTGAAAAAAGATATAAAGCAATTTCAATTCTGAATTAAATTCCTAAAAAATATTAAATGGTTCTAAGTTATGGGTGAACGAAAATTTAAAACAGTTTTAATTTTTGCTCACGGTTGGTTTGTGGAGTTTCTTTAATTCCCCTAAGATAGCGTTTTCATATTTCTGAGACTGTTAGAAAAGCATTGTTAAGGATTTTAAAGAACCATACAAATAAAGCAATGTGATTTTAGCTACAGACTTAAAAGGCGTCTTTATATTGACTATATACGACATAAAATAAAAATATAAAACATAGCAACTCAAGGAACAGTCGTTTTGATAAATACTGTCGTTGTACGATTTCAAAACTTATTTTCCAATTGTATAAAAATCATAGGACTATATCATATAGCTGCTATTGGAACGATTCACAAATTATTGAACGTTACTCATTGTTTTTAGACACAAACGCATAAGTATCATTACATAATCTTTTTACAAAATATTAACTTGTTGTTGTTGCTGCATCGGTATATAAACATCGCCTCGACAAAGTTTGCTTCTTTTCTTTTTTTAATAAGAAAAGAAAAAATATTAATAATTTATCTTACCTGTCCCAAAACTTTTCCTTTGAGTCTTCAACCAAAAATGGTTTGAGAGGATAACTGATTTCATTGCCCATGTATGAGTACGACAGATACAAACAGGTGAGAACTGAAGCCTGAAGATCTGATTCCTTGCTTTCTTCTCCACTAACGAGTTCGCGTACCAGCATGTAGACAAAAACCACATTTGCTGGGTTTATAAACGCTACATCCTGAATTAAGAAATGTTTATCAGCAAATGAAATACATTTTGATTCAAAATCTGGAATAAATAAATGATAAAGGTGTAATTAAATTACCTGCCATCCTTGGAGCAAAAGGCTGCGATCAACTGCTCTGAGCCACATAACAGCATCGCCAGCATCGAAATTGTTTAGCCTTTGACAACGACAGTGCAAAAACATTCCCAAGCACTTAAGCAATTCCGAAGTGGATGCCTGTAAATATGTTGGTAGGTCTTACTTATCTTAACCTTTAGATTATAAGGAAAATAATAAAAAATATAACTCTGGCAGTTCTTTTAACGGTGAAATCCAAATTTAACAAATCCGAAATATCTGAACAAAATCGTATTGGGAATTTAAATATGATTGATTAAATGTATTCAATAGCAACAATTAAAGATAATTTCTCCGGATTATTTGAAAGAAATCCCAAGTTTGACTTGAAAGTAGTTTTTTGAATATATTTTATGAAAATAAAAGATTAATAAACGATTAATAATATTTCAATCAAATAATGATTAATCATGATAAATCCTGCCGGACTACTTACCTGAATAACGGTTTTGCGAGGGATCTGGTTGGTATTTTTGATCTGAATGGACGACGCCTGGACTTGCTGCGGCAGACTGAGCGTCAGGGGCTGCTTCTGGATCAGCTTGTTGTGGTTCGATATCGAGCTCTTGTTGTTGACCTTGACGGGGTCTTTCGCCTTGGAAGGGTTCTGCGATTTGCCGGGTGGTCCTGTGATGACCTCCTCGCGGATGTCCTGGACCTGATTCTGATTCTGATTGCAGTGCTGCTGGTTGTGCTCCTCAATGCGGTTGCAGTGCAGCTGAATGTTTCGATTTTTGTCCGACGAGGAGGCAAACGAGGACTCCAGGAGTTGGGCTTTGAAGCAAGCCGTGGGCAGATTAGCGCACTTGTTCTTGTTCTCTATCTTCTTCTTGTTATGCGACGTAGAGAGCTTCTTCCAGGAGAGGGCGTTTATGAAGATCGAGTGCTTCTTTAGGTTCTTCTCGAAGGAGCTCTTCTCCGCCTTGAGCACCGAGTTCTCGTTATGCGTGTCCAGGACATTGGTGATCGTGTCCTTCGAGGCGTTCGTCAAGTTGTTCAAGTTGTGCGAGCTCAGCTGAGTTTGTGTCTGTAGGTTTATGTGCACTCCTCCGCAAGTCCCCTGTTGTCCTATGACGTTCTTGGACAACTGATGGCAGGCCGACTTCTTGTTCTCCCTGTTCTTGGCGTTATTTAGTTGCTCGTACGAGAAGTTGTTCAGGTGCGAATCAATTGAGCCAGTACTGTCGTTTTCGTTTCTTATATCGGTCGAGTGATTATATTGGAAATTTGGCTGAGACGAGTATATGGGATGCCGATCCCTCGGATTGAAACTCAACACAGTTCCCATGATGGCTGAAATAATGGTTTTAATCAATAAGACCCTCGAACGCCCACCTTCTTCATTGGTAAGGTTATTTTAAAATATTGATTTTTAATCATAATACTTGTGCAGAAGGAGAAAGGTTAAAAAACAACCCATAAAATCATTTTGCACAATAATAATATTACAATTGAGTTTTACAGAAGTTCTAAATAAGTTTTTACCTTATTCAATTAAAATTACTTGGGGAAAAAATCTGCCAAGGCTTTTTTAAAACGCGTATATCTCTCTGCAGGAGCACGATGTTATGCCATTTTTAACGGCTGCATAATTGCACTTCTCTAAGGAATCCGTTTCCACCAATAATATATTTTTTAGCACTAATTTGACCGTCGCACTTGTTTATGAAAACATCTTTTCGCTACAAGCTTACGAAATAAGTACACAGTCTTAAAATCGATACAAAGTATGCGCAGGCTCAAAAGCGAGGGTGGGCACTTTTCCTTTTTTGCATTTCTGAGCATGCTCAGTAAAGGTGTTTTTTGATTCCCAATTTGAATATAGTAAGTGCTAGCTTACAATACTAAAATCTTTGTAGGAAATAAAAATATTTATATTTTTTCTTTTTTCTTACAGCACTTTAACTCTTAGGTAAAAAAGTTCTATGGACAATTTCAGGAAAATTGAAAGGTAAAATTAAATTTGTATTAAAAAGGATAAATTAACTATTTTTCAGCTATTAAACTAAGCAATACGACTCTTAAGTTCCCATATACAGTTAAAAATAGGGCTTTGGCGGTATGCATCTTAAGGCCGTTGCCAGGGTTGAAAGAGCAATGGTGGATGTTTTCGGTTCTTACCTGTTTTCTAATCAAGAAACTATTTTTGAACTATTCGATTGGTTTGCTGATAAAACAATCTAATAATCAAAAACAATTTTGCGAGCTCGCCAATGTAAGATAAAAACTTGATATTTAAGATCAAACAACACATAATAATAATATTAATGTACATTTTCTCAACCCCTAGTAAAAACACAATTTCAAATAACAATTTTCTTTATTTCACTACAGTAACAAAGTCCGTACTTAAATTTAATAATAACATGCTCCCTGAGCAAACAATACATACAGTTATCGCAAGATCGCTCAAAAGTGACTGAAGGATCAAAAATATACTGCTGAACTGCTTTATTTTGTTGGTAATACTTGGATTCATGAACATGAGCAACATGGGTCCCACGCTGGGCGGTAAATTGTCTCGTTTATGATATTGCAAGAAAGCAAGTTCTAAAATAACAAAAAGCAGGACAGGCAAGAAAACACTGCTATTTGTGTAAAGCGCTAATAAAAATCCGACACAAGCCGCCAAAATAATGTGAACTCTGCTTTTCACAAATGCACTTGGAGCACTGTAAGTCTGGGGTGCAGGTTGTTCTTGGAAAAATTGACGATTTCTTGGAACATCCGGTTCGACCTCAGGATCAGAATATTGCGGATTGGCCGGGCCATGGTCTGAAATATAAAATTAATAATTAATATATACACATCTATATAAGTATACATAAGTACAAAAGGGCGGACCAAATTTATAGGCAAATGAATACTGCTACTTTCACATGCTTATACTGAGCGCTTTGGTGCATTTAAGGCATACCGGAATAAATCAGTTGAAAAAATGTGTTTTTGGGTCTGGGCATTGGCTTTAAAGTTTATTACTGATACGTATACGCACTGTTACCTTTCATCAAATGATTTGTTTTAACTGATATGTATGAGACAGTTGCACAATACCTAAAACTTTTAGTAAATATTTCTTGTTTACGAAGACTTGTATTGCACACCAAATGCTTCCATATTAAACGGTAAGAGTAGATTTGTTTTGGACCAACCTAGTCTACATATGCACATATGCACATACATAAATACATACGTATGTACATATGTACATGACATTTTCTAAAAGAAAAATATTTTAAGATATTTAAGTAATTATTACTGAAAAAGGAAACAACGTTTTTTTCGCAATCGCAATACTTTGTGACCTTATTATTTATAGGCAATGTCCAATGTTTGCACTTTGTACAAATCGGTGAATAAATAATTATGTGTTACCGAGGTGTTCGTTCTGTAGAGTTGCAGCTCTGCCATTGAGTTTGTCGAGTCGTGACTTAGAGGCTTCCAATATTTTCTTTCGGCGCAATTCCCGTCTTAAAGCAATAGATTGCTGAGCAGAGTTTTCATCTGTTGTAATTGAGTCCGTATCCATGTTTATAAACAGAAATTTACAATTAATTTGGTAGATTTGGTAAGACCGTTTTATAATGAAATATTCGTTGCAAGCATGTCAAGTTAACGTCGATAGTCCGTCTGTATTTGAACCAGTGGAATGTGCCCAATTTAACTATAGTCGTTTAAATAAATAAATATAAATATATCACAAATATAATTTCAGTGCTCTGATTTTATTTTATTAAACTAAGGAAGGCAATCAAAAAATCATTAAATTTGGTTGTTTTCATGTATTTAGCCTATTCTTATAGGGGAGAACTCCTATATTGGACAGGGTTTTTGTGAACCGCCGCTAATTCTTATTTAATTTTTTACGATATATGTGAAAGTTATAATAAAATAATTATAAGAAATAAAACGTCATTAAGTTATTTGAATTCGATTAAAATATATCCATTCCTGAAATATTTACAAAATGTCCATAAGGTCTTAAGGTTTTGGTTATTTATTCAGAAATATTATATTAACAATACAAATGTAATGATGTTAACACAATTAATTATAGTTTTTCCAAACGTCTGGGTGCATATAAAAGGACGTATGCGCAATGCCAGTCTCCACCTCCGGACAGCCGCAAGATCTCGTCTGTGGCCACAGCCGAGACCTCATCGTCGTCGAATTTAAACCACACATCGCCGCTGGAACGAACCCAAGCAACGTAATGTCCCGAGGAACTCGATCGACCTTTGTGCGTCAGCACGGCTTGCAATGTGTAGTATCCCGAATTGTTGCTGCCCAAGTCGTCGTCGAACCAAAACTGTTCGTATTTAATGTCCTTGTTCTCCTCTTTTGGTTCATTCGGTTTCACAACGTCAACTTCCATCTTCTTGTCTTCCAGATCTTTGAATTTCGAGCGCATGGGGCACAGCTTGTTTTGCAATTCGGGAGTACATAACTCAAAGGCATCAAACTCAATGGGAAACTTAATATCCTTTAACACCTTGGCATTAATTCCCTCTTTTCCTTTGTATTGAAAACGAACAAATTGAACGGTGAGATAGGCTGGAAGTCGGCTCACCAAGTACTGAAACAGAAAGACGTTAGTTTCAGTTCATTTAACTGATTAAAAGGGCTTACAGTTCGAATATACTTCGCATCACGTCCTAGAGTTTCCGATTTTTTCATTAATTGCTCTCTCATTTTCTGAAAACATATAATTTATAAATTAATTCTGTTCAACCGCTTTCTTTACTTTACTAACAGATTTTAGTCCGCTCTGCATGTATTTAACATCCATTGAAATAAAGCAACTCAACTGCAAGAAATTCTCAGATGTTACTGTAGAAGGTTCATCCGGAACCTCTTCCGAGCTCATCTTAACTTCAAAAGTTCCACCAAAAAATTGGTCAATAAACGAGCTTTAGGGAAATAAGAAACTATACGTTAATCGGAAACTAAAAAAGGAGGAATTAACTCACCTATGTCTTTTCTGGATAGTGTTCAATGGATCCTGGTTTGTTGGCCGAAGTTTTTGCTGCAACATTTTAAGGATTTCCGCCCAGCACTCGTTAGCGTCCTGCTGCCTATAAGTCCCATTTTCGCCAGTCTGGGCGAACTGTGGAGATGCCCTGTGCAATGCCTGCAGCAAAACAATGGGCGTCACGGTTGTGCCCTTTTCCATTTGAGCAAATATGGACTTCATGGCGGACGATATGGAAAATGCAGTCGACATGGTATCAGTTCCATCATGACTGAAAGTGGTTAAGGCAGTGCGAAGCTCTGGCACTGCATTTAAACACTGAACTGTGGCATTCATGTAGCACGTATTGCCCAGATTTGTGAGTCCGGCTGGCAAACGCATCTGAAAATAATTATAAACCATATAAAATTACTTGGAAGATCGAAGGCAGATGAATACGTTTAAGTAATCTCACTAAATGTTATAATCTCGTTAAAATTTGTATATATATTTGAACCGAAAATATTAAAATAAAATAGTCTTACTTTATTTAAAAATACTTTTTTACGATTTGTATACTTGTGATTTTGACCAAATCAGGGATAAATAAAGAAGTAAATTAGCGAACAATTATTTGAAGAATATAACCTTTGAAGAAGGTACATTGTAAATTAATGTTCAATTTTGTGCAAATAATTTTACCTTAATTAAACCGAATGACTCAGCAAATTTGATATAAACACAAATTAACTTTCTATTTTGTATAGCACATAAAATATCCTCGACCTTGAGCCTGCTACAAACCTAAGTGAGATTCAAAGACAATTGCTGCTGAAGCACCTTTAAAAATACGTATTTTTGGAGACTTGCAACCGGAATTCCTCGAAGTTGATTATAAATTACATAGCAAAATATTTACAATGCTTAATAGTTAGGATAACAGCGCATTAAGATTCATCTCAAATCATCTAAGATACCTACCGCTGTGGCGGCCTCCGCTTCATTCATGTCCTCTATAAATTTGACCGGTGTAGCAGGCACTTCTGGGACACTCTCTTTGCTGCCCAGCAACAACACCACAGCTCCCTGAAAAAATTGTGTTTGATTAGGCCTAAGTTTTCCAAAATCTTTAAGTGTACACTTACGTCTTTGATTTGCAGGTTCCACTGATCATCCTTCAGAATTCCACCCTTGCACATAACTTTTTGACGATCCGGTTGAACGCCAGTAAGCGCAAACAACTGGGCTTTAAACAATATCGGCTCCTCGTCGGTGTTTACATCAATATCTGTGTAGAGCTCCCGGCCCCACTTTACCTTAACTGAAAACAACATGGTTAAGTTTTGCAAAAGATAAACTTAAAAACACAATTGTACCTTTAAATGCGGGCATGACTAAATTTTTCGTTAATAAAAGAGCTTCTTTCTGTAAAATTCAAAGTCATAATCAGAGATGCGCAAAAAAACGATATATTTGTGCATTGCTACTATCTCAACAATAATTTATTGCAGGAAAATATTGTCAAGTTTGGAACGGCGGCAATGCAATATTTTTAGAAGAAATCGAAAATAAAAACATAAAATCTAAATATTATATAAATTAAATGAGGAGATGACAATATAAAATTAATCATCATTAAATAAATAAAACTTTATTATTATTTTGTGTTATGGTTTAGTTTTAACATTATATTTAAAACTAGCTATATTTTGAATTTGAAATAATTCCATTACCGAAAAATCAAAATGGTGTGATTCACCATTGATTCTAGTCCATTAGGACGAGAACAGGCCTATAAGTGTCCTAGTTTACCACTCTCAGTATTGTCATATGAAATAATTATTGAAATCAGTTTTGGAACTCTGATATATGATAATGAAAAGAATATATAAGCAAAAATGAAAGCGTACATAAACTATCTAAAATGAAAGAAAAATAGTCATTAATATTTGATATTTGGTCATATAAAACATGCAGTTTTTCTTATTTTTTACATTCATGAGCAATATTAACTTTCATTGAGAGTGATTCAAATATTCCCCCCGTTCCATCATAATTATATTTGTATCAATTCAAACATTCCGACGAAGACGAAAATGTAATAGTCCGATTGTCCACATTATTCAACCACCTCTTCCATCGATAAAACAGCTGACAGTTTTCCGAATTCATTTTTATAATTAGTTAATTGCCCACATCGGCAGATTTATTAGAATATTACTATAAAAAAGATAAAAGATGAATGAAGCGGATAGTTTTGCTGAAATATTTAGAGGCGGCTTACCTCACTGCCTTCTCATTGTTTTTTCTATGTTACTAATATGTTCACCGGTAATGCCAAGCGAATTCGAGGTTATTTCCATGTCCAAATACGATCTAAATGGGCAACATTTTGGTAAGTAAATAATGGATAAGATAAATATTAATTATCAACGTTTATTGCAGAGCCCCAGTTGTACTCTTGTAAAAAAATAATTTTCGCACCATAACATGCTTTTTTGACCTAAATATTTAGGTCGTTGACGAAGTCTCTTTTTATTTAATTAGTAACATTGTATCTCATTAAAGCAAGCAAACGTGTTCCTGTTTTTCAGATTTAGTTTCTATATATACATACGTATGCTACTTACAGCATTGGCTTGGTTTTAAAATTAACAATTTTTTAATTGTTGCATTCAAAATAAAACAAACTAGTAAATACCCTTTGAACTGCCTCTAATTATTATTCATATCCGATGGTTTTTGACTACTGATAATCAAATGTTGTGGAGATAAACAATTATATCTTTCTGAGAACTACTGAAAGATATTAAAATTATATTTAGTTTTTATAAAAGTTTACAATTTTCAACATTTTAATTATGTATTTACTTCCCACTTTAAGGAAGCCGAGTATCTGCAATATCTCTAGAAGCAAGATCTTTGTATTCATGGAATACTTCGAGGCACTGCGTTCTCACACGGTAAGTATACACTGCGCACTATTTTGCACTAATATTATAACGATTTTTATTTAAAATAGGTTAACCGACTTGTCTATCCATGATTTTGACAAGTTAAGGCAAAGTGCCGGAGGAATAATTCTTATGTTGCCGGCAAATATATTGAACCTGGATCTAGAAACCAAAGAACTGATTACAATTTTGGAGCAATCAATGCTAACACATACGGCTGCGGTGCCCATTTACTTCGCGCCCTACAATAAAGATTTAGAAAAGATCATCGATGACATTACCTACACGACCACGGATAAAGTGGGTCAAAACCAAACCGCACTGGGACAATTAATTGTGACTGTCTCGGCCAACAGATACCACGTAAATGTCGGTGGTGGAAGCATTGTGGCCAACAAGAATAGCAAAGTTCCCATTATTCACGGCGAACTGATACCAAATCAGTTGGCCCTAAAACCCACGGAATCAGTTGCAGATGGACAAAAACTCCCCGTCATATTAATAACCGCGAATCTAAAAACATTTGGAATATATAATGTAAGGCCTTATGCTTAAAAAATATTATTTTAGATACGTTTATATAAAATTAAAGTAATGTAGGTTAGGAAAAACGCTTTCAAGCTTTCATATCTTGATAAGTAAAAGATTACACGTGGCCGTAACAACTTAACATAATTCAAGACCATAAATCTTTGCTTTCAAGATAAGATTTCCCTATCTGAAAGACTATGGTCTTTGATAAACTGATATTAGCTCCATGATCCTAAACAATGTCATACTAGTTATAAAGTGCTTGTTTATCGTAAATGCACATCTTAACAAACGAGAAATTATATTTTGGGAATAGTTATTTTTTGTAATATACTCATTGTTTATCTTATATTTTTAGGATTATCCTGTTAATGCTGATGCTGCCGTTTTATTGGTGCTCATAGAACTGTTTAGCAAGTTGCACCATACCTCCAGTATGGCACCCAAATACCGTCTCCGATTTCTGCTTTCGGACGCTGGCGTCCTACTTAACTTCCAAGGTTCGAAAAAGTGGCTTGAAGTAGACGATAATGCTCTACAGGTAAGTACAGCCATTCAAATGTTGGGTGGATACATTGTTAAAACTTACAACTCTTTTTCTAGAATGTTGAGTTTGTGCTTTGTTTGGATACCATTACGGAGAGTTTATCTTACAATGAAGACAATGCCTTGTATATGCATGTCTCCAAGCCACCGAAAGAGAAAACATCTATCAGCAACTTCTTCAAACTCCTGAAATCATCAGCTGAAAAGTATTCGAACGGCTTAACGGTGGAGGGTGTGCATAAGAAGATAAACCTAGCAGACACTAAACTAGCTTGGGAGCATGAGCGGTTTAGCATAAAACGCTATCCTTCATTTACTTTGTCGTCAGTGAAAAGTCCAAGAAGTCCCATTCGAACAACCATTTTCAAAAACGATGAAAGTCGTATTGTGGAGCATACTGTCAATACGTCTAGAATTATTGCGGAGGCTCTGGCAAGTTTCATGTACAAAGTGGATCCAATTTCCAGCATTTTTGATGGACAATTGGTAAGTTATTTAATTGTGGGATTTTTCTAGACAATTAAATTATTCTATTTTGTTTTTTTAGGCCATTAAAGAAGAAAACATATTGCCGTACTTTGGAGTTAAATCCATATTGCATAATAACGACGTTAAGGATGCTTTCGAAAAATACCTTAACAATGTTAAAATTATATATGATAAGCCCGACGGCAGAGATCCAGACTTTATGTTCTACAACGAGAACGATGTGAAACTGAATGTTTACAGAGTTAAACCAGCGATCTTTGATCTCTTACTTACTATTGTTATTGGTATTTATCTATTGACTGTATTCTGCGCCATACAATACTTTCCCCTATTTTATGATGAAGTATCGAAGCTAACAAAAGAGGATCCCGTGGGACAACTTAACGGACATTCTTCTGAACGACTTAAAATGAAATCACATTAGTAACAAAATGGTATTGAGTAATATAATATTTGCAAGTAGGAAAATGTGTGTCCAAAATTATTTTTCAAAACTTTACTAACACTAGATGAACAATTGTTACTTTAAAGATAATAAATTCTATAAAACTGTAGAAATCTGCCCACGTGTGATGTGGTGACCATAAATTACCCAGCTAATGCATTTTCTTTTGAAAGCTTCCAATTGAAACCACTTTATTTATTATAAGTACATGTTCGTATTTTATTGCATAATAATTTGGTTTTTGTTTGATATAAATATTTATTTGTTTATAGCATTATTAATTTAACTCATTAACACGAGCCGTTGTTGTAATTAGAACTAGATAGATTATGGGCCCGACTTGGTTTCGGTAAAGGGTTCCAGTCTAAGTTCGACGAAGTAGGAGATGACTCTCTGATGTTGCCCTTAAATTTGCTTATTTTGCTTATAAACAAGTTATTTTGTGTTTGTGATTCGTTGGTATCCGACGTACTAACCGAAATGTTGGCAGAAGTCACTTCCTTAGAAGCTGTACTACTAACGTTATTTAACTCATTGGGATGGTTGTATTTATTTTCAGCATAGGAGGGAGTTAAGTAAACTTTTGTGCCCTTGGCTGCACTTTCATTTAAAATCTTTTGATTTCTGCTTATAGACTCTAGCACTTCCTTAATTGACTTCTTCTTCCTCATTCGCGGTGTCGGTGTAGCATTTGATTCCCGTTCCGCGGAGAGTGAAGATCTGAAGTGATCGTTTCTTTGCCTTTCAGCAATTCTCACTTCATTTTCCAACTCAAATTCTTCTCTGATTTGCAATACTTCGCTAGATTCAGATGGATTCGGTTGAATTGAGTTTAAAACGCGATAGTTTTCTTCATTCTTTGACCTAGCACCATTTACAATTATGCTATCTGCTGTATTTTTTTTGGGAATATTGTTAGGAGCACTATAACTAATGTTTTCTTCAAAAATCTTTGAAATTTGTTTGACCGTGCCAAATGAGTTAGTTTTTCTATCTTCATTTGGTTGAAGGTCTAAGCTCAAATTTTCAGATTCACTGTGTATTTTTGCATCATTATTAACAATGGACTGTGCTTTGGAAGTGCATGGTTTAATGTTGCTTTCAGAATCTACCAAAATGATTGAATGCTTTACTATTTCTGTATGATTTGGATTCTGCGACTCCTTCGAAATGCCATCAATAACTAAGGACTCTTCTCTGGCACTAACAGGTATGCTGCCGTTTGGCTGTTTGTTGATTTTGTTTTCCTCAAAATGAATGTGAAAATCATTATTTGGTTTTTGATCGCATACTATTCTGGGTTCAGTGGATTGCGTTATGTGTATGCTGGCAATGCACTCAGGTGATTTAGACATGCAGGGATTATGTTGGCTCACAGTATTAAATGAAGTTATTTTTTGACCGTCCATAGATGTTCTTGATATTTCTGCATCATGGGACTGCTTTACGTGAACTGTGCCAATCCATTGTGGTGTTGGGGAAGTGCATGTATTAGGTTTGGCATCCGAGTCAGGGGTAGTGCTATTTTCCTTTTCAATGACTGTGCATATTTCATTGGATTGCTTTACATTATTAGTCTGTGTTGTTGTGGACGTGCTGGGGTTAGGTTCGCTATCGGGGATCGGTGCAGTAACCGAAATATTTGGTAGATTTGGTTTAGCGACTTCCTCTCTAACTTCTTGTTTTATTAAAGATTCGTTTCTGTTGTTGACAAACTCTTCAATTTCAGAGGCAAGAGACTCGATGTCTTTGGTAGCTAGATAATCCTGAACCTACGATTAAAATAAAAATTAATCATACATATACATTGTTCCCTGAGATTTCATTTTCATTACAACTTGTTTTGGCGGCGCTGGAGCTTTCCTCTTTTTACGATATCTTCTAGCACTCATTGGGGAGCTGGGACATGATTCCGGTTGCGATTCGAAAGGATTTGAGCTTGCTAGACTAGATTGTGATAACCTAATTTGAAAAATAAAAAAAACAAACTTGTTATTGAACTAATTTTCAAAAAAAGAACTCCCTACAATTATAAATGTGATAAATTAATTATTTTATTTAAGCTTATTTACTAGGGAATTTATAGAAAATATATGTTACCTTAGATTCTGTTGATTTGGCGCGGGATATCCAGAGAACTGCGTTGTGCTTCGGTATCGATCATTACGATTGAAGAACATCCCATTGGAGATTGAGTCAGACTACAATTATAAATAGTGTAAATAATTAACTTTCTGTTAAAATAGGGATTTTAATATTTACCTCTCTTCGTGCATCAATATTTTGTAGGGATGTATGACGGTCCCCGCGGAAAATTCTAGAATTTAAATAGGAACTATACAAGTGGTTATAAAATCCGTATTTAAATGCGAGATATACGGGGTGTCACAAAAAACTTTTTCAAACAATTTTTATTTTATTTTCTTAATAGAGATTTCTGTGGCACCCCTGATATTTTTACATACTTATCATTTAAATCTCGTCGTAGTGTTGGCGGGCTTTCTGATGTTTTATTTATTCCTAACGTTGAAGATTTCTTTTTACGAAAAGAATACGATTTCCTAAAATAACATTTGTATTTAAGTTAATCAGAAAGTTTATTTATACTTTTTAGGGATCGTACTAAATAAACAAAAAGAAACTGAAAAACTCACCACAGTTCTTGCAAGTTTCCGATTGATAGACTATGCCTGCCATTTTCGTTTTTCTTTTTGCTAAATGTAAAAAATCGAAGCCGTCTGTGGTTATCATCTTCGTGGAAAGGATTTAAATGTTCAGGGTAGTCGTAAATCGATCTTTGACTAGTATTCCGCTTATTCCAACTCATTGTTGTTTGGTATCTAAGCTCCCTTTAAATAAAACTAATAGAAACATTTTAATAAATTAAAGACAAGAAAGAATATCAAAGCGGTCTGGTTATGAGTTAACTGCAGTTTGTGTTTAAAAAATGGAATAGCTTTAATCGCTCCAAAGACCCAAAGTTGAGGTCAGTCATATGTGTATAAGTATTTATACGATTAAAAAAGCTTTACTCTACTTGTTTCATAACTTTTCAAGAATACTATACACAGGTTACCTGGGATCGTGTAAATATAATCACCAGAATGATGACATTACTATTTATTGATGGGTGCAGTATGTTTCTGTCTACAAACCAGGTTTAGTGGCCTTCGAAATTGGTTATATAAATGAACCGGTAAAGGTATTTTGTCAATCAATCTATAAGACGCACGTTAAGATATTATTATTTAATTAGCACTCCTACAGCTACATAGATAAGAGCTTAAAATCGCAAAACACTAAAGTAAGACAACACCCAATAGATACGACTAAACTTTCCAAAGAATTTCCGTACCATGCTCTTATCAGTAAGATATCTAAAATAATTATTATTTCAATTACATTAAAATTACTGCGAACTTTATTTTGATTTTAAAAGGCGAATAGGTTATGAACCGAAACGAGTACATCTGTATTTGTTATATGGTATATTTTTGGGTTAAGAATTGCAAATAGATTTAAAACACGGGAGCATATTTTAAGCACTAAGAACCGTTTTTTCATGTTTATGATAAGCTCAAAGTACATTTTAAGGACAAGAAACGAGACTCAGGCTTTCAAATTGCCCTTGCTTAAAAAAGAAATGGATTCGGGGTTATAAATAAGAACATAACACGACTCTGCGAAAAACGACGTTCACGAATTATTGCCCACAAAATCACCTTCTCATTTTAATTAGGAACTTTTATAGTTTTATAGTGAGATATAACATTTGTTGAATATTATTTGCAGTTCAATAATTTATATTTTAGCTTTAAAAACGGTTAGAAAACTTCCTAAATATAATTGTATTTAATAATTCCAATTTTTTTCTATAACGGTTATTTAACATTTTTTCTGTGATACATAATAATTCCCGCTTTTCTGCACTGGGTATTTCACTTTAATTTGTTTGGTTTAAGCTTGGAGAATCCCCATTGATTTGTAGGTTTTTAAAACTTCATAGATTTCATCACGGAAAAGTGGTTCTGATCGGTTTTGTTAAGTATCCCTGGAAAAGATACACGGTTTAAAGATGCGCCAGAAGGTGGGAAGTGCTGAGCACGATCGTTTGGGATGGACACATATGCACACAGCACCTCGAAATCCATAACATAAATATTATGATAGGGCTCTGTTGACACTTTCGATAGTATTTTACGGTGATCTCGAATCATATGATCGAACGCACAGAAACGCTTTGGGTCATTTGTTATAGGTGTTTTATTTATTTAGTTTTATCAATTGTTAAACAGAAGATTATATTGTTTTAACTACTTTGGGGCTTTGTGCTTTCGCCAATTCAAAAGGTTAAAAACGATCACGCACGAAGTTTTATTATGACACACGCCGTCACTAGTGTGAGATCATTTAGATTATTTTAAACACAAACAAATACAGCATTTTCAATCTACACACATTTTTGTGTACATGCACATATTGAGGAATAAACATTCGCGTTATATAAAGAATTTTCACATTTCAGCTATCACTTTTGTATCCATTTACAGATTAACTATCGCATATATGCCGTGGGTACACATAAGTACAGATGTAGATAAAAATATACACAGGTATTGCCAAGGAAAGGTAATGTGTTCCAGATGACCTCAAATATTTAGCAGCAAGCTTTTCGCGATACTCACCCACCGAGTTGTACTTTAAGACTGAGTGAACTTCATGAACTTTATATACAAAGATAGAAAGCTTTTAAATATTTCGAGGGCTTTTTATAAGTTATAGTACATGAACACTGTTGCACATAAACAAATACAGAAGCATATGAAAGTGACGATTCTATTATGATCGCAAAATCGTTAAAAGCAAGGAAAACCGCTTGGACTTCTGTTGGAACTTTAAAGATAACGAAAGATCATTTCGCTGCATTCTATACTTTCTTTAAAATATTTAATCATCAGCAAAAATCCATAATGAGTAATTCGAATGAATATTTATTGGCCTGAAAAGCTGGGTATATTTAAGTTATTTTATTACATATATTATATGAATGTTGTTTTTATACAGACGTGCAAGAGAATAGATGACACACTGTACAAATTATTCCTAAATATCTCAAACAAAAACATATCAATTGGAATTTATTACCAGATTTTAAAATTTTTTTAAAATCCAATAACAGCGAGCGAGATTCATAACTGGCAGCTTATGATTAATTATTCGGTATCTTGCAATGCCCGTTACGATTGTAGTTCATAAATATGTGCATAATTAAATAAATATAAAAAGTTATTATTTTGGGGGCAAGCCTTAGTTTTAAAAGGCTAAATTCGTTTTATTTTTAAAAAATAAATTACATTTTTGACTTTAAAATTTTTGTTTTATTTTTAACTTTTAATTTATGTTGTTATACAAATCGAATGACTATAATATGAAGCTCTCACAGGAACAAACAATAATAACTCAGAAAAATATATTTATAAATTATAAAATAACCCCTTGAATAAGGATCAATTGAGTTATTTTAAAATATCTTTGCAATTAAATGTCTAAGTACTTTCTTTTATCACAGAAGTATCTTTTCTAACCAAAATAAATCCGAATTTGTATGGACTTTCGGGCTGAAAAAAGTATCTTAAATATATTGCAGTATCAACAGAAAAAACGAGAGAGCACGTTAACTTTAAAAAGCAGAAGTGTTTACAGTCTTGTAGATTCTTTGGCAATAAAGAATATTAAAAAAATTATTAAAAAAAATATATTATATTTAACAATGAGTTAACCGATAGAGCGAGTATTAAGCCCATGACTAGTAGACAAAATCCTATACCGCTATGTTTAATTTGGGTGATCGTTCTTATATAGCAGCTATGAGAAATATATTTTCGCTTTAAAAAAAATGAAAACAAATATTTGAAATGTATGTATGTATGTTGAAAAACCACGAAGTCTTGTGGAATTTCCTATTCATTTTTTCGAACTTTCCCAAGGCAGCTTTATGATAGTCGTCCGGTTTTTTGATAGCTTAAGTTTTAAAACACCGAAGCTATAATTATTTTTCTGATATTCGTTTTATCGTTTCAATTGCAGCTAAATGATAAGAAGTCCAGCTACGGGTCCTAATCTGCGGGCGCATAAAAAAGAGGATTCAAAGGTTTCAAGCTTAGTTTTTAAACTGCCCGAAAAAATATCTCCTTGGTATAAAAAAAAAAAATCTAACCAAAAATACAACGCCCTCTGGTCTAACGTGTTTTGGTTCAAAATTTTTGGGTTCACTCCCAGGATGTCTACTCATATTTTACAAAACAAAGTAATCCTGTCAGTCAACAAATTTTTGAAATAAATAATTTTTCCTTGTCTAAATTATTTATGTTTTCAAATAATATGGGAAGAATCGAGATATCTTCTTGGTAAGTAGTAAAGACTTTAAACAAATTAACGCATATGTTGGTTTGTAAGTTCGATGCGATTGTTCATTTATTTTTAATTGAATTTGTTTTCTTTTTCCAGCATGACAAGCACAGACAATCTACGCTGGTTAAACATTATGATTTTTCCATAAAATATTTAAAGATCTTCAAAATGCATCCTATATTAATAATATTTCGTTTTAACAATGGAGAGGTAACAAAAACATTTTAATTTAAATTTGTAATGTATGTATATATGTTTTTGATGAACATTGTTAATTGCCCTGTTATAAAAAGAGTTGCAAACCTGCATGTCAAAAAAAAAACTTTAATTCTCAAAACCACTTAAAAATAGTCTAAAAATGAAAATTCCATAATTTTCCTTTTTTCCGATATGTCGCTCCAATCTTATAGTTCCCGAAATCCAGAAGCTGGAACGGAGATAATTTTTAAAAACGAACTAGACTCTTAATAATGTTCAAAAATGTACATACTTTATATAGTCGGAAACGACTTCTGCTAAAAAATTTACCTTGACTTCTATATACTCTTGCCTAATAAAAGCTGAGTACAAAAAAAACCCATAATTTTAATTATTATGTCGAATACGTTTTTTGTAAAAACTATTTGCTAAGAATTCAACAAATCTGTTTATCTCAAACCCTTTTGGTTTTTCTCAAAATTAATTGAGGGAATACAATTTTTTTTGACGAAATTTGTATACAACATTTTTTTTGCCAAACCTGTGCAACGCCTTAAGTACCGACTAATTAATGGTTATAAAGACTCTAAGAAAAAAACACTTTTAACTTATAAAATAGCAAGTCAACAAACTGTTGTTTAATTTACAAAGTCTTTGGTGCCTAGTGCGATTAGTTTTCTGAGAGGTCACATAAATGACATTAAAATTCTTAATCTCGAACACAAAGAACGAGTCGCGACAAATGTGAAAATGACCAAGCTGAGTTTAATTACATAATATATAATTAAATCTGATTATACAAATTTATTTGGAAGTATCGACTATAAAATACTGCAAGAATAATCTCAAACTCACAAGGTTAGCAGAGATGAGTTAATTATTTCTTACATTTACTACGTTTGAAATGTTTCAAAACTTTTTAATAGAAATTTAAAGCTCAATTCTTAGTTGCGTCTACCAGTTAGTCGCCTTTGGTTTTAATTGTTTATTTTAGTTAATTGACTTTGTGCCAACCAATTATATTGAATCAAATTTTAGAAGGCGGTATTTTATAGTCGCATTATAGGTCTACACCTTTGTGTTAATTGTATGTTTTGTATTAAACATAGCCGCGTTATCAGTTACTCTAACCTCAGCCAATGAAAAACATCATCACGTCAACTGAAAAATTAGTTTAAGACACACGCGACAAATTATTCCAGCGGGTAATAGAGAAGTTCAATATTTGTCTAATAAAATTTTATAAATATTATATTTTAATTGAGAATAATTATTTACCGACTTCAAACATAGCTTACTAATGTGCTAATAATATTTTGGATTTTAAAAAAGTTGAAAGGCACCAGACCCAACTTTATTAAAAATGTTTTTGGCATTTATGAAACCAAAACATGTGTGCTACTAAATCTGATCGATTTTATTTCTTCAGGATCCAAACGGAAGGAGAGGTTCAGAGATCGGGGATATTCAATTAAAGGTAACCTCTGAAACCTTATCTCCAAAAATGGTTGTGGATTTTGTCGCTGGACTTCTCGGAGGTAATAATCTTACCTACTGTATTTGTAGAAGCTTTCATACTGTTTTTGAATTTCAGGTGCTGCTGGGGTTCTTGTTGGTCACCCCTTCGATACAGTGAAAGTGCATTTGCAAACCGATAATCCTCATAACCCGAAATACAAAGGCACATTACACTGTTTTCGAACGATAATGCAAAAAGAAAGCTTCAGAGGATTATACCGAGGAATTAGCAGTCCCATGGGTGGAATAGGACTTGTAAACGCTATCGTTTTCGGGGTGTATGGAAATGTTCAACGATTTTCCAACGATCCCAATTCGCTGAAATCCCACTTTTTCGCGGGTTCCATAGCTGGCGTGGCGCAAAGTTTTGTTTGTGCACCGATGGAGTTGGCAAAAACCAGACTTCAATTATCATCGCAGATCGACAGCGGGATCAAATTTACTGGACCCATCCACTGCCTTAAGTACATACTAAAAACCGAAGGTATTCGAGGCGCCTTCAAGGGACTGCTAGCTACCATTCTAAGAGATATTCCAGGTAAGTTTAATTTGCTTTATTTAATTATGCTCCTGTGGGCTTAACCCAGGCAGGGTACAAAAAAAAATTAAATAAAAAAAAATTTCAAGAATTTCTTCAGCTTGTGAGCTGAAGAATTTAAAATAATTAAAATCCATAATTATATTTCGTGCAAGGAATAAGCTTTAAAATAGATATGTCTGATTTAAAATCTTTTTATGCTTTCTAAAGTTCAGCTTTAATGATAGATCGTTCTTTTTCATTTCAAATTTAAATTTTGTCTCCATCAAATAATTGTTATTGTTTACAAAATCGTCATTCTGTTAATGCTTACCTCTAATTATTTTGATGAACTAGGATTTTCCGCCTACTTTGTGTCCTTTGAGTTCATGATGCGCCAAGTGGAAACTCCCAACGTCCTATACACTCTAACGGCAGGAGGATTAGCGGGGATGTCCTCTTGGTTGGCCTGCTACCCCATCGACGTGGTGAAGACCCACATGCAAGCAGATGGGCTTGGAAAGAACGCCAAATACAATGGATTTGTCGACTGTGCTATAAAGGGCTTTAAAAACGAGGGCCCGCAATATTTTTTCCGCGGGTTAAACTCGACTTTGATAAGAGCATTTCCGATGAATGCCGCTTGCTTTTTTGTGGTGTCTTGGATCCTGGACTTCTGCAATGCCAAGACTGGCATGGATTCCGTTGTGCACTCCGATCAGCCACTTACTCTAGTGAACTTGGACAATAAGACGCAGGCGGACCTGGAGACAACCGCTGCAACAGTTGAAGAAGTTGTGCGGAAAATAATCACGGACAATGCCATATCACATCAGTATGCTTCCACACCTCAGGACGTCGTTCACAACCATTACACAAGTAGCACAATTAACATCCCAAAAGAATCCAAAACGCGTTTATCCTCCGATTGTAATCTAAAATAAAATTCAAAGTTGTTAGTATATGTATAACATTTTTTTTATATAGTTACCAAATGGGTTGAATTTTTTTAATAAGAATTATTGTATTAAAAAGTTTGCTTTCTTACCAGTTTTTGTAGCTCAAATTCATAAATAATATCCCAAATTTTCAATCCAAATTTACTTTTTATTAATAGTTGTGTTTACATAATACAATTAAATAAATGTTAACTTATGTGCATGCTTTTAAGAGCCACACGACATGCAGGCATCCTTGTTTTCAAGCGAACAAACCATATCTGCCATTTTTCGTTCCCTGTCCAATTCATAATTTTGGGGATTTTCCTCAGAGGTGCCATTTTGGCCATTTACCTTCAACGCACTTTGTTTCTTATCTACGGTAAACTGAATTGCATTGGCGGCTGGCTTTGTGCGCAGGTAGTACATTCCGGTCTTAAGCCCAGCTTTCCAAGAGTAAAAGTGAATGGACGTCAATTTTCCATAGTTTGGCTCAGCCACATGAATATTGAACGACTGACTTTGGTCTATAAACGCCCCACGATCAGCGGCCATTTTAATTGTGGACTTCACTGAGATTTCCCACACAGTTTTGTAAAGATCGCGAACTTTCTGGGGAATGGTCTCAATACCTTGGATTGAGCCCCTGCTGGAAATGATTTGGTTTTTCATGTCGTCGTCCCACAAGTCGAGCTCAGTTAAGTCCCTTAACAAATGATGGTTGACCACCTGGAATTCACCAGACAGAACTCGTCTGGTATAAATGTTCGTGGTATAGGGCTCGAAAGATTCGTTGTTACCCATAATTTGAGCAGTAGACGCAGTAGGCATAGGGGCAACAAGCAGGGAGTTCCGGACACCGTGCTGTTTGATGGACTCCTTTAGTTTTTGCCAGTCCCACAGGTTCGTTGGCTGTTTGTCCCACATGTCGTACTGCAGAATTCCTTTGCTCACGGGGCTTCCCTCATAGGTCTCATAAGGACCTTCGACCTGCGCCAGTTCACAACTGGCTTCCAGGGCACCGTAGTAAATCGTTTCAAATATCTGCTGATTCAAAAGACCGGCCTCTTCACTTTCATATGGGAATCGCATGAGAATCAAGGCGTCAGCGAAACCCTGAACACCGATGCCCACGGGACGATGTCTCAAATTGGATTTCTTTGCCTCTGGGAGGGGATAAAAGTTGATATCAATTATCTTGTTGAGATTTTTGGTAACCGTCTTGGTAACTTCCTTAAGTTTCTGGAAATCAAATTTTTTCTCGGGTGTGACAAACATGTTAAGAGCGATGGATGCCAGGTTGCACACTGCAATCTCATCCGGCGAGGAATATTCAACGATTTCTGTGCACAAGTTGCTGCACTTAATGGTGCCAACGTTCTGCTGGTTGCTTTTCCTGTTGCAGGCATCCTTGAAGAGCATATACGGGTTGCCAGTTTCCACCTGCGACTCAATAATGGCAAACCACAAGGACTGAGCCTTGACCGTTCGGTTCGCACGACCCTCTTGCTCGTATTTAGTGTACAGCTTCTCGAATTCATCGCCCCAGACATCGTGCAGGCCCGGGCATTTGTGCGGGCACATCAGCGACCAATTCTCATTGGCCTCGACGCGTTTCATGAAGAGATCGGGTATCCAAAGGGCGTAAAACAGATCGCGGGCGCGATTCTCCTCCTTGCCAGTGTTTTTCTTGAGTTCCAGAAACTCAAAGACATCCGAGTGCCAGGGCTCCAGGTAAATGGCAAAGGCACCGGGACGCTTGCCGCCACCCTGATCCACATAGCGTGCCACATTGTTGAAGACCCTCAGCATGGGAACTAGGCCATTGGAAGTGCCATTCGTGCCGCAAATAGAGGTGCCTTTTGCCCGGATGCAATGAACATTCAGTCCAATGCCACCTGCCGATTTCGAGATCATGGCGCAGTGTTCCACCGATTTAAAGATGCCCTCGATCGAGTCAGCCGTCATGGTCAAAAGGAAACAGGAAGACAGCTGCGGGCGATTTGTGGCAGCGGCAAAAAGCGTTGGCGATGCGTGGGTGAAGAATCGCTCAGACAAAAGGTTGTAGGTTTCGACGGCCGCATCAATATCCTCTCCATGGATTCCTATTGCCACGCGCATCAACATGTGTTGCGGACGCTCGGCGATCTTTCCATTTCTCTTCAGCAGATAAGAACGTTCGAGGGTTTTGAATCCAAAATAGTTGTACCCAAAATCACGATCATAAATGATAGAGGAATTCAAGCGAGTGGCATTGTTTTTCACCACATTGTAGTGGAATTCTGATACCAATGGAACTTTCTGATTCGTTTCCTTATTCACATGATTGTACAGGTCATCAAAGACATCTAATAAAAGTAATTTATTAATACTTTTTCATAATTTGTATTGTTGAAGATTACATACCGGAGAAAACCTTTTTTGTTTCCTTGTGCAAATTAGAAACTGCAATGCGAGCAGCTAAAATGGCATAGTCGGCATGATTGCATGTTAATCCGGCTGCGATTTCAGCAGCCAAGTTGTCCAGTTCCTGAGTAGTCACGCCGCAATACAGACCATTAATAACTTGCAAGGTAATGGAAACCTACGAAAATAAAGTATGTTTTTAATATGTTTAGTTAGTTTAGTTTTGTTTTATTTAATACTTAATTCCAATTTATAGATTTTAATTTTATTTTTATGTACAGACGTCTAAGATTATTTTATTTAGAGGAGTCCCACATGAGTTCGCCAACCGAGTTGATACTTTATTTTATTGCAAGACTTTAAAAAATGCCAATACTTACTCCAATAACGGCTCTTAAATTTACCCTAAGAGACCACCATTATATTTACACATAAGAAACAAACTTACAGGATCAACAAAATCCATGTTCAAGTTGTAGCATAGCTTCTGTATTCTGGAGGTTATTTTATCAAAATGTACTTCCTCCTGCCGGCCATCTGAAACGAATATCTTTAAACCTGTTGCTGCTATATAGCATGCTAACTTACCTCTTTTAATAACATATAACTTGGATGTTTTTATAGACTTATTTTTCAACATGTTGGTTGCTTTATTTCACAAGAGGCGGAAAATTGCTTGTTGCAAACATAAAAAGGCGCCAAATTAAAGTCACTTTTAATGTGACCGTATAACAAGATCACAAAATGCCTTCTTCCCAACAGCACACATTTGAAACGATCGAGAATATTCTGTTTGTTTCACTTTCAAGGGATTCTTTTCAATTTAATGAAATTCATTTAATCGTTAAGGATGAAATTGTTTTCTCAAAACAACTAACATTGTTTTTTAGTAGTAATATAAATAATTTATATTAGCTTTTATTTATATAGCATCAAATAATTACATATATATAACAGTGTTTAAAGAACATTGGTTGAGTATGTGTTTTATAAACGGTCTCGGTAGATTGTTATCAATTATACAAGTGAATATAATATTTGTAAACAAATTTGTAATAAAACATGTAACTTTAAAGTTTTAATCAAGAAGGCCATGTCGATCTATTTTATTGACTTGCTGTCCAGATTGCTGTTGAAAAACACTAGAAATTTTTAAAAAAGTACTGATTTTTTTAATGGGTGTTTGTGATAAAATCTTTTAAGTTACTTACAAAAAGTTATTTATTTTTTCAAGATCATGTAATATGTCATCTTGGTCCGAGTTTAGATCGTCTCGCTCCTTGAGGCTTTCTAGTAGAGACAGATTTAAATTTTCAATATATTTTTGAAGATTATTGACCAATAGTTGTAGAATCGGAACTTGTATTCCCGTGAGCAACTGCCTTGATATCCACCGATGATTCGAATCCATTTTTATACCAACATCACACAACATTGACCGAATAACATCCCCTATGGGTGTGATGCCATGCTTCTTTGCCTAAGGGGAAATAAGTAAATGATTAATTAATAAATATTTAAAAAATTAATGTTTATACAAATGTACCTTAACTTTCATTTGTGCTATTTCCTTTGACTGAGCGAGGGCTATTCTAACCTCAATTTGGAGCTTTGATTGGTTCGCGAAGAAAAACAAAGTTTCATTTGATAGAAAATCTTGTTTTTCAATGGGGTTACCATTAATCGTTTGATTCATGGTAGTTTCTTGATTGATTTGGTTCTTTTGAAATATTTTATCGTTTTCAAATTCCTTATTGCGTTTTGTTTCACAAAAATCCGATTGCTTGCGAAGTACTCCACTTGATAATTTGGGACACGTTTCAGAGTCAGAACTACAGCTTTCATTGTCGGACCCAGTTAAGAATTCATCTTTTTTTATTTCTGAAAACAAAAATAAGGTTCATATAGAACCATACAAATTTGAAATGCGAGAATTATTCAGGAACGAACCATTATTTAAAGGATCCTTATCCCCGATCGCCAATCTTTTACGTATTTCATCTCGATTAAAGCGACGCTGCAAAGAAAAATATTGGCCATAAATAACATTTAGTAATCTTTATTAAAGTTATACCTTTTTTTCAATTTGCTTGACCTTTTTATAATGATTTTGTAATGTTTCCACATCCATATCATTTGCTATCTTGTAAGCATCAAATTGTTCTATTAATACGAATAAAATTAAGGACAGTTGTTTCAGTTAGGAATATGGCTGACAATGTTTTTTAAATTTTATAGTTATTTACCTAACACCATTGTAGAAGATTGATCATTGCAAAACTTTAAAGGATCTTCCAAGTATTGAGACCAGCATGATTGATTTAAATATCTCCGGTTTGCCACCTTTTGATTGTTTTCATTAAGATGCTGCTGAGTTTGTCCGATTTCTAAATTGCTCATGCTAGGTATTTCACCCTGATTGATACTCTGCATTTCATTTTTGTTTTTCTCCGACGAATAACTTTCAGAATCACATATTATATATTTCCGTTGGTTGTATGTTTTATAGTCGAAGGTGTCCGGTGGTAGCTGTCGTTCATCATGTGACGGTTTTTGATGCTTAATTTTTATCAATTCATTACCGTAAGGTGTGTTTTTCTTTTTATTTTTGCGAATGCTG